GTGTCTGTTACAAAAGATTCCCAGCAGGTATATAAAGAAGGAAAATGTGTCGTGTGGATATGCATATATGATGAGCTCATGTATTCATCTCTCAGGGCCAGACAGTGTTCCCACTTTACACTGCTGGGGTGTGTGTTGTCAGTAACTGCCGTGCGTGTCCGTGTACATACCGAACCCTCCTCTCGCTCAGAACCTTCATCAGCAGTAACTCTCTGGGGTCCGCTGGCTTCTGGCTCCTGGGTCCAGGGGCCACACTGGGAGGAGCCTATGGCCCTACAAACACACGTCTGCGCTGCCATCTGGGTAAGTCACAACACTAAATCACAGAGAAAAACTTTTTGGCTAGATCCTCTTCTGTGGATTGCCCGTTAAAGGTTGTATCAGCGATTTCAGGCCCAAACAAAAATGATCACGTTCAACTAATCTTTCCTAACAAACCGCTAGCTGCCCGTCCAATAAGCAGGCAGTCAAAAAATGTGTCTCTGTAGACAGCCTAGGTTCTGAGATCTGCACACAAAAACAAATGGGTACAACCACCACTCAAAATCAAAATAAACAGTGTTCTAACCAATCACCGACAGAGGGTGTTTGTTTTTGCGCTCGTTCACGGCTCCTGCACGCGTAGTCGGAACTGAAGAATAAGCCAGTGTCTATCCCTTTGCTATCAACGGACCAGATGCATATAACATGGAAGAGGCAATCCCCAAGAAGAGAAGGAGGATTTTTTTCATCAAAGAAACAAATAATAATCGGGAAGGCTTTTGAACAGTGGAGAGAACTCAAAGAATTGAAAAATTTTAAATCGGACGCCGAGGTTGCACTGTTTCTTCTGAACAGGTCAGTATCTTCTAATGCTGACTTTTTTGTATGTGAACTGTGTGTGAATTTATAATTCTTTAAAAAATATGTGTGAAGCTCGACTAAACTTGGATAGCTCTAGCAAATATCAGATTGTTGGGATTTAGTGTGTCAATTTTTCATTGGGCAAGCTAACTTGGTTTGTTTGGGATCTCGCTTCAAACACAAACAGAAGTGAAGTCACCCACAATCGCTGATACAACCTTTAAAAATGGGCTAATGATATATATATATATATATATATGATATATATGAACGTGCGTGCGTGTGCTTGTGTGTGTTTGAAAAAATAATAATACACCAACATAATGTCAATGAAATTCCTCTCCATTGCAATTGCTCTGTCTCTGTGTCAGGTCTTCAGACGCCTGCTCAGTGTGAGCTGGTGGTGGGCGGGGAGCCTCAGTGTTGGTCAGAGGGACACTGCCTGCTTGTGGATGACTCCTTCCTGCATACCGTCTCACATAATGGTCAGAAAACTAAATCTTCTCAAAAAAGTCCTAGATAAAATAAGCCATGACCAAAGAAAAAAAAAACACTTTTTAAGTATGTTGCATTTTTGTAAAATTGGATTAGTTGAGTGTTACATAAGTAAAAATCTGAGAGGGCAAATGGATCGTTTTCAATGAGCATGATGCTTTTTCATTTGTGTCAACTGGGTCTCAGATGTTTCTCTTAAAAAAAAATTTCGATTAAAATCAAGAAATAAAACCAACACAAATTGTTATTGACATACACTACCATTCAAAAGTTTGGGTTTGTTCGTTTTTATGCTCGACAAGGCTGTAAATATAACCATTTAAAATAACTGGTTTTATTTTAAAATGTCATTTATTCCTGTGATGGAGAATGAATATTTATTTATTTTGTTATTAAAGGAGCTGTATGTAGGATTGTGGGCAAAACTGGTACTGCAATCAGTTTCAACATACTGTAGAGCGGTGTATCCCCTACCCCCTCCCCCTGACTCGAGGTTGCCAGATAGGCTGCAGGATCCAACATTTTTTTATCCCATACATTTGTAGCTGCAGCTGTGGTAACTAGAGCAGAGCTGGCAACCCGAATGCTGCAACACTACTGACTTCGTGATTGGTAGATCGGTGGAGGGTGGAGCATCAGAACAAAACACAACATGACATTTGAGGGCTGCAAATTCACTTATTAAATGACAATATCCTGGCCGGACTACTGTTGTCAGTGATACAAGTATTTGAAATGAACGTGATTTCTTAATGTCTAGTGACATATCAGGACCATTTTATGATTATTTGAAATACATTTCTTACATACAGCTCCTTTAAAAACAAGCCAAGCTCAGGTGAGACAAAGTAATGTAAAAGTATAACATAACGAATTACTTTCCATAAAAAGTAACAAAAATAGTTACTTTTTTAAAAACACAATATTGTGTAACACTGGTTGAGACAGTGACAGACAGGGACCTGTTTCAGAAAGGAGGTTAAGTGGAAACTCAGAGTATGTTTACCCTGAAATGAGGGGATTTCCGTTTCAGAATGGGAGGTATGTGGACTTCTTTTTGTCGGGTGCTGTTGCCATGGTGAATTATAATTTCGGAGATCCATTATCATGGCTTTTTATATTCGTGGTGCACTTGCTTAACTTGCTTTTTTTCTCAGGGTAAATAAAGTCAGAGTTCAAGTTTTAGAGAGGGTTGGTTGAACCTTCTTATTGAGACAGGCCCCTGGTCTCTTCTAAAGTAGAAATTTGAGACAAAGACACATGGCACATGAATTAAAAAAATCCTGCAATATTCCACACAAAAAAAAAGAAGAAGAATGTCAATTTTGATTTCATGGGGACTTTAAACTGTAAAAAAAAAAAAAAAAAAGATACTAGAGATCTCATATGTAAGCAACATTTTTTGTTTGTCCTCTAGGGGGGGCTGAAGATGGTCCCAGAGTTATCTTCAGTGTGGACCTGTGGCATCCTAATGTGGCTGCAGCGGAGAGACAGGCTCTAGACTACATCTTTGCCCCGGAGCAGTAATTGCCAGGATGCACTGGTCCAACCCACTTCATGTCGTAGCAAAATGACAAAAATGTTGTTTTAACGTTCGCAAAACATCTTTTGGTTTAGTTGAAAGTTCACACTGAGGATATTTATTATTTACTACCACTTATAGGATATTTACTACCACTTATTTATCGTGTCTCTGTTCAACCGTAACCTTTTGAAATGTTTTAGTCAAAGTAGTTCAGTCAGAACTGCTGAACTTTTGAGCCCTGAGCACACAGATACTGTGATGACATGCGAACAATTTTCAAACTTCATATCTACATTTAACTCGTGCCTGTCTTTATAATCCCACACTCCTGTTCTATCGTTTTTGTGCCTGATTTCTTATCCTGACCTCTCTGATGTATACTGTGATACATGGTTCTCCGTAAATACTGTACACGCGAATCACAGCTATGCTATGAATCTGAGTTTATTTCATCAGATGCCGATTTATTTTCAGATCTGTGAAGCACACTGAAGACAGCATTCTGTATGTGACCAGACTAATTGCATGCGTCGTGAATTTTGATCTTGTTGCCAACAATGCACTTGATGACTGTCCTGCAAATCAAGTATGTATTCATCTGAGTTCAAATAAAACATTTTGTTAAATTTACACTCTCTAGTCGCTGATGACATTGGAGGGGGAGGAAGTATAAGTTTACTTTCACCTTCACACACTCGCAGCAGGAGAGTACCATTCACTCAGCACCCAAACACACCTGAGGTTGGAGGTCTCCTCTGTCAGCAATTTTATCTTCCTGCATTGAACCCTGTGAGAGTAGAGAAACATAAAATAAAGAGGATAGAATATCACGAAGGGGTATAGGGGCCTGTGTGTGCGATCAAATATGCATGCGAGACAGGGCCAGATGACGAGACAGACAGGATAATGAGTTTAGAAATAATGTGTGTGTGATGTAATGTGTGTTAGACGATCTGTTTAGCCAGAATTCTGAATGACATTTTTTCCAGTTAAATAAACATTTTTCTTGTATTAAAAAGTGGTTGATATTTCAACAGATGTTATAATCCCAACAGTTAATCTGACAATGTGCTTTAACAGTGGACACAGGACACACACAAAACAAGATTAAACAGCCATTATACTTCACACACACACTGGTTTCCATGTTTTATGGGGACTCTCCATAGATGTAATTTTTTTTTATACTGTACCAAATTATCTCCTCTTACACTAACCCTAGCCCTAAACCTACCCATCACACAACACTTTCAGCATTTTACATTTTCAAAAAACTCATCCTGTATGATTTATAAAAAAGTGTGGGGAAAAAAAGTGAGACTAAAAAAAAAGTGACTAGTGGCAGGAATTTATAATGTTACAAAAGTTTTTGTTTCAAAAAAATGCTGTTCTTTTGAACTTTTTTATTTAAGAATCCTGAGAAAAATGTATCACAGTTTCTACAAAAAAAATTAAGCAGCAAAACAGGTATTTTAAATTTTAATATTATTTCACAATATTACTGTTTTTACTGTATTTCTGATCAAATAAATGTAACCTATTTGAGCAGAAGAGACCTTCCCGACCTTAAACTTTTAATTATAATTATATAAAACATTTAATTTTTACTGTAATTTACTGTAATCTTTCTATATTCATAATCTTATATAAAATAAATACAACCCCAATCCTAAAAAAAAAACGTTTTGAAAACAGACTGTGACTCATTTTTATTTAATTTTTTTTTTTTTGTTATTTTATTGATCACAATTTTGCCATAAGTCTTCTTGCATGCTTTTTAAGAATTTCTGTTCATCTATTTGCATTTTGCATCTCTTCAAGCTGTTTCAGAGGCAGCTATAATAATGTTCTTCTACTTTTATCCTCTCAAGATATCTTTCCATCTGCTCCTTGTTGATATTTGAGCATTTGATTTCTTCTACTCCACAATTCTAATCCTCTTTTCTTATACCTCACTATCTCTCTCTGTCTGGTGAATGGACTGTTAAGTAGTAATCTTAGCATCCACACACTATAGTGATGGTGGGGACTGCAGAGAGCTCTGGGATTACTGGGCTACTCTTACGCAAACACATTTCAGGATGTAAGAAATTGCTTAGCATTAGCACTTTATGTAACATGTATGCATGCATTGAAATATACTGAGACAACCGAGCGTGATGGCGGTGTTGTACGTCAGTTAACTCAGTTCTTATATAAAACTCATACACACATGCAGATTTATGATACATTGGCATCTGAAGCATGAGCACTGAAGAGCATTAAAGGTAACCTTATTTTGTGCTTTTGGGACTATTTTATTTGAAAGCAGATTATTTTTTAAAATATTGGACTTGCATGTAACATCCAGATTAAAGAAAAAAATCAGAGGAAAAAAACTATAAACAAAATAATCTAGTTCATGTTAGTTATTTGAAGTCACTTTTGCCAGGTTCCGCTTAAGAAGCTAGATTTGATCTTTCTCTCTCTCTCTCTCTCTCTCTCTCTCTCACACACACACACACACACACTGTCACTTGCTCACTTATGCATGTATTATTTGACTTGCTACCTCCCTCTGTATCGTTTAATCATTCAGGAGCTGCTGACTGACAGTGAGAGAGGTTTGTTCTTGCACTGAATCAAAGAACAGGAGGACAAGAGAGTTGGCTGGCAGAAGCAACAGAAAGCAGAACAAAACTAAAGAGGACTGACCTTCTTCCTTCCTGTGGACCGAGCATCTGAACAGGTGAGGGAATGTTTGTTCGAAATTTCTGAACTGCAATGTAGTGTCACTGTTACATTTGTTACACAAATATAGTAATAAATATAATTTATGCATAATTACATGCAACTAACTTTAAACCAAATCAAACCCTTATCCTAACCCTTTAGTAAGTAGTACATGTAGATTTTTAGCAATATTATTTTGTAATTATATAATTACAGTGTAACAAAGACGTCTTAAAATAAAGTGTAACCAAGTTGTTCTCTGTTTCATTCAAGAAATGCCAAAAATATGTCAAATTATAATTCAAATTCATAATAAAAATTAAAAAAACATGAAAAATATTTTAAATACCAGCGGTGACATATTAAGATGATTCTTGCTGCAAACTTGTGATTGGTGTGAATTTGGTGTTATATTCAATATTTACAGAGTTATAGTAATATTTATTTTGGCTTTTGTCATAATACAAATTACAGTATGTTCAATATCTGAACATTTTTTTTCTCTGACACTCAGAAGACACACAGAAGAGGCTGTCAGATATGAGTCTGGGGCCGGCATGCATTTTCCTGAGAGGATCTAAAAACACTGTAAGTCTTTTTGGCTTATATATATATATATATTCTGGTACTGTAGTGATCCAGAGTTTATTGGTAGACATTAAAAACAAAAACAAGCAGTTGATTTTACCTAAAGTTCCTCACTGTTGCCCGATGATGTCACTGTTTGTTTACTCACTAAACTTTTGCTGAGGTCATTCAGAACCAATCTGTTCATATCCATTATAAATATCTGAACTGGTCTAGCACAAGGATGATCTTTCTAATGCTTTTGGATGTAAGATATTAATGGAAGCTTGCAGAAGAGAGATTGAGTTCAAAATCTGTCCTAAGCCATGCATCAACAGATTGTTGCTTGTATAAACCTTGCATAAAAGTTGTTCTGAATCCAAAAATGTTGGTAAATATGTAAAGTTGATGCACACACAAGGAAGCCTAACTGGAGCTGTTTTACAGGAGCGTCCACTCGCTGATGAGGAGCTAGAAGGTCAGTGCAATTGTTTTACTGCTTTTATTCTACAATAAAACTTTACAAAATATGTACAATTTACTTAAATTAAATGTATTTAAAACCAAAATTTGAAAAAAGGCTTTAACAGAGAGTCCCTGATTATTTCTTGAAATTGAATTTATTGCACTGGTCAATTTTTTTAGAAGTCCTCTGATTCAGAGATAAAATGTGCTGTTTATGTATTTTTGATGTGCTGAATTCAAATATGTAAATTGACTGATTATCTACTGTTTCCAAGATATTTAAGTATTATTAAATAATCTATGTTAAATATTGTAGATATTACCCGTCACCTATTCTGTTTATGTAATAGCCTACTTTAAAAACAAAAACAAAAGGGTTGTATATCATATATATATATATATATATATATATATATGATATCAGATAAGCTTAAAAAGAAAGATGGCATCAGAAAGTTTTTGTTGGTGGTTTAAATTGAGATCACTTCCCTTTATAACTCACTTATCTTCCGCCATTCCCAAGTCAAGGGTCCCATACCGAGCCAATAGCATCTTGAAAACTAGAGCCAATCATCAATTTTAAACATCATTTTCTTTCTCAGTGACCCATAATTAGTAAAGTTTGACTATATTTATTTCAGATACATTTTGGCTGTAGAACAGTGTTATTTATTTCATTAAACGGTTTTATTTTCTAATGTTTACCTTCACATTTATATAACCACTTTAATTGTACAACATGCAAACCATGCTTGAAGTGCCAGATGCCGATGCAATTCAGTGAAGTCAATGAGTCTGAGAGTACTAAAAAATTGCTTCTATTTTATAATCTTTTCTAAATAAATATAATATTTGTTGATACAAACTGTATTTTCGTCAATTAAGTGAAAAGTTGACCTGAAAAATCTACACGAATTTCAGAAGTCTTAGTATTGGGTTTGTCCTCTCGCTTTAATGACAGAAGCACTTTAAGCTTCAAGAATCTACATAGTCAAAAGATCATTTTCACAAACTGTTCTTAGCTTACAACTTTTTCAAACTTTTTGTATATTTCTATTAGGTTTAAATGAAATACTAGATTATTAAGAGATTATTGAAAGAGTTTGTTGTGTACCCAGATCTCTGTTCTAGTTAATTAAATTGTCTTGTGTGTATTACAGAGCTACGTGAGGCGTTCGCAGAGTTTGATAAGGATAAGGATGGTCTGATCAGCTGTAAAGATCTGGGCAACCTGATGAGGACAATGGGTTACATGCCCACTGAGATGGAACTGATTGAACTTAGCCAGAACATCAACATGAACCGTGAGACATCTCTGTTACTGTTTTGTGATGTCAAGTCAATGTGTTTTGTACTGATACTGTTTTGTCTGCTCATCACTCTGGCTGAAACACAGTATGTTCCATCTATTTATTTATCATATGTTGTTGATCACATAGATCTCACATAGATCTTTATTCTCTATCTGCCTCTTTTTTTTTCAGTTGGAGGAAGTGTAGATTTTCAGGATTTTGTTGACCTCATGGCCCCAAAGCTACTGGCAGAAACGTCTGGAATGATCGGACTGAAAGAGTTGAAAGACGCATTTAAAGAGGTGAAGGATGTACCCTTTTCCTTTTCATTTCCCAAACATACTTCCAACAAAAAGCATAAAGGAGTGTAATCTTTTTATATTTTTGTGTAGTTTGATATGGACGGTGACGGCTCTATCACCATCGAAGAGCTGAAGCATGCAATGCTAAAGCTGCTAGGTGAAAACACAAACAAGAAGGAAATAGAAGCGGTGGTCCGAGAAGCAGACAATAATGGAGACGGGACCGTTGATTTTGAGGGTAAAATAGATTCTTATACCAACAAAATGTAGATTTTTTCACCAAAAGCCTATTAGCACAGTTATTCTTGGCAATACAATATTCAAAGCTATTTCCTCTGGTATTTCTGCTGTATTTATGACAATAGTAATCAGTGCTGGACAAAGAAATAAAGTAAAGTATAATAGGCTACTCCAGTAAATAAAAATAAAAATACAGTAAATAAAATAAAAAAGTTTTCAACAATGTGGCCCACTTACGTAGCTAAATACTGGATTTGTTTATTTATTTTCCAATTTTATGTAGGCTAGTCTACATTCTGCTCAAAATAATAATTTGTATTTCACTCGTTTGTGACAATTTTCATTAGGCAAAATGTGTAAACATTTAAGGAATGACGCTAACTTACATTCTAGTTTTTCATTCACTCATTTGAAACTGCCATGCCAGTGGGAAAGGAGCATTTTTCGCTATTTTAAAGTTGTGGACATGTCTTCATTCAGGTAGCCTATTTCATACTATTTCATACTTTTACAGCAAAGTTCACAGACCTGAACTGACAGACCTTTCATTTAACCTACTACAACAATAATCAATCCTAAAATTGGGCATAATCTTTCACGCCATCAGTCGCGCGTGCACTCAAGCTCCGAGGATCTCCCGCTCTTGGCTCAGTGTTAAAGGAGTAGTTCACTTTAAAAAAAAAAGCTTTTGCTGATAATTTACTCACCCCCGTGCCATCCAGATGTCCATGTCTTTCTTTCTTCAGTCGAAAAGAAATTAAGGTTTTTGATGAAAACATTCCAGCATTTTTCTCCATGTAATGCACTTTACTGCAACCAAACGGTCCAAAATACAGTTTCAGTGCAAACTGCAAACTGTTCAAAGGGCTTTAAACGATTATAGATGATGAATAAGGGTCTTATCAAGTGAAACGATCACTCATTTAAAAAAAAAAAAAAAGTTTAAGTTTTATAAGCTCAAATGCTCGCCTTGCTCTGTACTGTGGTGCGTGTTCATGACTCTCCTGTTCAAACTCATTTATCAAAATGAACGAATCTTTTTCCGAGTCATTTGGTTTATTTAGTTCGTTGAATGAACCAAATGACTCGAAAAAAGATTTGTTCATTTTGATAAACGAGTTCGAACAGGAGAGTCACGAACACACATCGCAGTACAGAGCAAGGCGACCATTTGAGCTTATAAAACTTAAACTTTTTTTAATGAGCGATCGTTTCGCTTGATAAGACCCTCATTCATCGTCTGGAATACCAGTAAAGTGCATTATATGGAGAAAAATCCTGGAATGTTTTCATCAAAAACCTTAATTTCTTTTCGACTGAAGAAATACATGGGCATCTTGGATGACATGGGGGTGAGTAAATTATCAGCGAGTTTTTTTTTTAAATTAACTGGAGAACGGACCATTTGATCGGTGACTCGAGAACAGATGGTCGAATTCACCAAAGTGCGATTTACAAACAAATTTACCAGATTTACCAAACCACTGCTATCACGTTTCGAATAGGTTACAATTTCTTCAGTTCAAAATTCAAAACCACGTTTTTTAAAAATGTAGTGGAGTAAACGTAGGCCTACGAAATTGTGCTGTTGAATGTGATGTTTCCAAAATTAGTCTGATAATAGGCTACAGATAGGCTTCTTGAAAAATGTAGCTATAGCCTCTTTCCAGAAGTTAAAATACTTAACTGTTCTGGTTTAGTTGAACCATTGCATTATAGGATCATCTCCACACTCTGTTTTAGTTTAGCACTGCTACACAGGTTATATAATTGCACACAGATCAATTGCAGAACCTTTTCATGTGCGGAAAGGCATGCTAAGGGATCTTTGCATCTTTTAACACCATAGGCCTGGACTGACCTTAGTAATTACTGAAGCGTTGAGAACCTTCTTTAATGTATTAACATCAGAGCAGCTGACGTGTTTCATTAATTAAACTAACAAGACTGTAAGTGTGAACAAATGTGAGGTCAAGAACGGGTTGTGTTAAACGCTGATACTTATAGAATTAGCTTCACATTAAGTGATTAACTCAAAATTTACAAATGTTTCCATTTTGGGCAGGTATCTCATGGAAAAGAGATTTTTTGCATCTCATTAAACTGGTAAAATAATTAAAAGTTTTATAATATAATATGATAATATGGAAACAAAATAGATGAATCTAAAATGCAAATCGGATAGTTATTACGGACTGGATACTGATACTAATCTCACTTTATATCAGCCTTAGCTCTAGTTAAAACTAATGCTTCGCTTTTTTCTTTCTTTTTAAAATCTCTCTCCTTTAGAGTTTGTCAAAATGATGTCTAAAAATTGAGAATGCACCCGTGACGTTAAAGAAGGCCTGAGACAATCTTTCCAGAGACGGAAACATCTGCATCGGTCAGACCGTCAATAAAGTTAATGGCTACAGTAGGCTATGCATATGGGAACATTTTTTTAATACCATTTTTTTGTGTGTATTTATATCTTACTCTTTGAGTACCACTGTGTTTTGCTTTACATTACCTCAAACACTGAATCCTCTATAAACTGTAAATGATAATAATGTCATATATCAGTATTATGTAACAATATTTCAGTGCATGTTTGACATACAGTATATGTTCAGAATAGGATTGCATCTTTCATTGGACACACATACTTGAACTTTTGGCATAAAACCAAATTAAAGATTCTCTGACTGTTATTACTTTTTCATTAGTGTGTATGTCCTAATTTTGAATTTTGCATTAGTGTGTATGTAATTTGATCATCTATAATCTTTAGTTAAGCTCATCACTGAAAATGACAAATGTCATCAGGGAACTGGAACACAGTCTGTCCGCTCTCTAATTCTGCATTGCATCAATGTGTTTCTGTATACATTTTAAACAGAAAGAGCATTACATGAGTAAATATTATGATAGAAATCTACCATCATCTGCCTGTAATTTCCTGATGCAAATTCAATCGACATGTACCTGAATTAAAGGGTTAGTATCTTCGGAACACAGTTTAAGATATTTTAGATTTAGTCCGAGAGCTTTCTAAAGTCATAGTTTTTGTTATTTTTGGACCAAAATGTATTTTCGATGCTTCAAAAATTCGAACTAACCCACTAATGACACATGGACTACTTTGATGCTGTCTGTATTTCCTTTCTGGACAAGGACAGTATACCGTACATTTTCAGTGGAGGGACAGAAAGCTCTCGGACTAAATCTAAAATATCTTAAACTGTTTCCTGAAGATAAACGGAGGTCTTACAGGCTTGAGGGTGAGTCATTAATGACATAATTTTCATTTTTGGGTGAACTAACCCCAAAAAATTAGCGAAACCTTAATTTAGTGGCCACTTAAGCATTTACAAATAAGAAACAAATGTTATTGATAAAAAAAAGTCTTAGTCACTCTAAGGATGAAAATCAACAAAGACTTTTGCTTTTCTGTTCCAACCCCCTCCAAGGGCCATTATAAGGGCAAAGAGGAGCTGATAGTGATCAAGACCAATAGGCCAAGATGTGTGTACGTCGGGGTCTAATAATTGTCACACCTTTTATTTAGTATGGTGGGGGAAGCTGTAATCTGCTGATTGGTCAGTTCGAATGTCTCACATTTGGGTTTCAGTCACATGGTCAAGGAAAGGGTAAAAGAAGATTGCAACCATTGCTCTGTCTTCGCTCTCTTTTCTTTCTTGAAACTCTCCCTACTAGACTCTCTTTCTTTCTCTCTCTCTCTCTCTCTCTGTATATATATATATATATATATATATATATATATATATGTGTATATATTGTATATATATATACATATCTCAGGTAACATTCTACATACTATATGCTGGGTATAATTAATTAGATCTTCTCATACATCTATTTTGTAACTATTTTAACCATAACCAGATTTTGATTGTCATTAAACCCTTTCAATTACAAATGATGTGCTAACTTAACATTAATGTTCTACCTATTGCAATAACTGCACTTATATCCGGTGTTGGTTTAAGTAGCAGTGGGCGGTATAGACAAGAAATATACAGTTTTATCCTAGCCTGGCTGCGCCCTCCTACGCACTTCCGCTCAATTTCATTATGAAATGAACTAGAGTCTGGTTGAACCAGGCTAGTTTTATCCCATCTTGCTCAGAAAATTTCTTTATTCATTTGGCAATCCTGCTGCAGATCCGCATCTGCCAAAAGAACTGTGGCTACGTCGCTTGAAGACACATACCAGTAAAGCTACAGTGCTGTGAAATGGTTTAGGCACTTTTGTAAAAATGCTTTAAAGTAAGGACGCTTTCCAAAATAATGTCATAGATTAATTTGAATCAATAAAAACAATATTTTGTGCGACTCCTCTTTGTGTTTAAAACAGCTTTTGTCCTAGGGACACTTGCTCACAGTTTTTTTCAGGTAGCTTTGCAGGTCAGTATCTTCAAGCGTCAAGGAGATGTTGCCACAATTCTGGATTTAGTCTGCCTCAGTTTCCTTTAAATAATCCCAGATGGACTCGATGATGGCGAGATCAGATCTCTGTGTGGCACACCGGCTGTTGTCAGACTCCTTGAGCATACGGAAATCTCACTGGATTCAGTAATTACAAACCGGTAAGTCAGCGACACGGTGTTGAGCGCCCAAAGTCATTGATGCACGAGGCCAGTCTGGTCCGAGTCAACAGGAGGTCTATGGCACAAGTCACAAAATTTTAATGATGGTTACGGGAGGAATTTATCACAGCACAAAGTGCTTATGATAACCCCTGTCCACCGTCGAAAAAGAGCATGGGAACACGAGTGTTGGAACTGGAGCTTGAAGCAGTGGAAGAAGGATGCATGCATCCATGAGTCCTGTTTTCTTTTAACTCACGTGGACGGCCATGCATGTGTACACTGTTGTTTACCTGGGGAATGTGTGTGTGCTTGTGTAATGTTCGGCATTAGACCGATACTCTCTCATTAATGGCTTGTATGTTGCACTTTGGCCTGAAAATGGCATTAAAAGTAGAGACTGTCGTATTTAATATAATCAAATCCTGAGTCAGTAATCCCTTTAGCCTCCGCAGCTGATCACGCTTTTCCACGAACTTTATGGCACATCTGCTCAGCTCACACTGGTCCTCTAAACCTGCTCATAAACATCTGTTCCACCGAACAGATGAACCTCCGTGCAGTCAGCATTCTTACAAAAAAAATAAAAAGACTACACATTTTAATTATCCAAAACCCTCGTTTAATACAGTGAACAAGTTACCTCCTGACCTGTAATTAACCTACTCTTTTGTTCCTCATAGACAGGCAGCAGCTCATAAACCTCTATGCCAGATGTGCTGAAAAACCTCGCTAAGCCATTAATGACATCCGGTCCTTCACCAATCTGTTTCTATTGAAATCCTATTTATTATTTTTTTATTAAACCTTTATTTAACCAGGAGCGTCTTATTGAGATTAAGAACCTCTTTTGCAAAGGTGACCTGGCCAAGGCAGGCAGCAAATACAAACATATGTATAAACATATAACACAAATTAAAAACTAACATTTCATATAATCATTTTAAATTCAGTCTAAGAGCATTTACATATTAAGCATCTCCCTCTAAATCTTTCATTTTGGATTGAAATGCATTTAGCGAGATGAATTCAAACCGTAGGAGCAGGGGAGCCTATCCCAGTTGTCAATGCAGAAACTGGGAGACATGCATAAACATCATTGCATCATGACCAGTACGTTTGTTCCATGCAGGGCAGGACTTAGGGTGGTGGGGGCCCCTGGGCTGGAGCCCGACCTTCTACACTTACTTTAAATAGATCTAAATGATACATACACAAGCTATGTATTAGAGCTGGATAATTTGAGAATAAAAATAGAGATCACGATTCCTATCAAACAACTTAACAAAATAACATAATTTATGTTAATTGCTAAAAGTTTATTAAAAATGTTTAATAAATCTGAATTATTTAAAATAAAACTTGGGTTTGAATGATTCAATTCCTCAATCAAATACACTTGTTTCATAGATGAATCAGCATTTTTGGAACATTTAGGAACTTCCTAATATTTCATATAGCTTAGGTTTCATTCCATTAATGTGATTATTTAAATGTTTATGAATAGGGTACTAATATGAATTACGATTATATGGGTATGGTATACCCATGGAGTCAGTAAAGATTTGATGGCACTATTTCAAGATCACTAATCATCAAATAAGTATACATTTGTAACATTTGATGTGGGGTTCATTTAATTTAATATAATGTGTAGGAAAAAATTAAATAGCAAAATAATGCATAAAATAATTACAGTATATAAATATAATACAATAATTTTCAGTAGTAGTCTCAGACTTTTGGAACTCATTCCAATTTTATGTTTTTTTTTTATAATTTTTTTTAATATTTTGTGTTTTATTTAACATTGTGCCTCACAAATGTTAAAAAAAAATAAAGGTAAATAATGATTATGTTGCCTACACTTGCATATTTTCAATGTGTAAAGAAAATTTGTTCGTAGTCATTACAAAAATTTCACTGAAAAGTCACCAGAAACACCAGGACGTAAAACTACGATTTCAGAGCAAGTCATTTAGAGACATATCAAATATAGACTCAAATGATGATGAACGTTATGGCCAGCATGACTGATGCAGATGAAATGATAGACATATAGTCAGAACATGCCTGTGGGAAAATCCATGAAGATAAATTATGTAATGCTGACCTGTTTTTTTATTTATCTATTTTTATTATTTAATCCACTATATACGTATTTTCTTTTCTCTGATGCTTCATAATCCCGCACTCATCCATCAGACTCTCCTTCTGTCTTCCACTTTTTGTCTGCATTTAATCTAGTATTTAAAGCAGGTTGTTTTCCATTCTTAAAACGTTTAAAATCTTGATGATATAACAGGTTTTGTGTTCTGCTCAGTCTCTTGACACGTTGAACTCATGACATGTGCAATGTGAGAAGACTTTATCTCACGTTTTTTCCCCCCTAAAATCTCTCTTCTTTGCTCTTGCCATTCTTGCCGAATTAAAATGCATCAAATTACAAATTCTCTCATATACTGTAAAAAAAATTTTTTTCAAGATTTGTTATCATAACATTTTTTCTTTTGTCAAATCAACTTAAATAATTTATTTAGTTCCGATAACTTATTTTGACTTTCTGTTGATTAAATCATTCTCCTTTGTTGTATTAACTCACTTTTTCCAGTTCAATCAACTTAAAATTTTAAGGCAACCAGGTTACTTACTTTTTTAAGTTAAAACAACAATTTTTTTTTACAGTGTAACCAAATTTTCACGGAAATATGATATTTTACCAGCACACACACAGGCATGTGATAACAATTAAAAAAACACTGAATATCAGAATTTGTCTGTTGTTTCCACCTTGTTATTATTTTCTTTTTCTGCCATCCAAGGCACACTTTGACACACATTGCATAAAATAGTCTATTAACAAAGATTATTATTATGCTAAATCTGCTATAGACCCTATTTTCTTGTATTTGTTTGTTTGTTTATTTAGATCCCCATTAGCAACTGCAAAAGCACTTAAACACAAAAAAATATTCCTTTAACATAAAACCATACATTATGTAGACAAAAAAGGAGTGTACATATTCATACGGCTTGTAGTACCATCACAGACAGCCTCAAAATCACTCTCCAGAACATTCTCATTCACAGTACCATGCTGGTGGAATGATCTG